TAGAATAGAATAGAATAGAATAGAATAGAATAGAATAGAATAGAATATAAACAGAGTTGGAAGGGGCCTTGGAGGTCTTCTAGTCCCACCTCCTGCCGAGGCAGGAAACCCTACACCACTTCAGACAAATGGTTACCCAACATCTTTTTAAAAACTTCCAGTGCTGACTTCTCTACTAAATTCTTACTTGGATGGACTTTGTTTCTGAGGGTTAAATGATGATGGGGGAGTTTGATGACAGGTAGCTCTCTACCCCTTAACTTCTATTCTCAGAAAATCCTGAAAGAATGTTTTCCTCACCTCCACCCCTGCCTACATTCCAGTGACATTACTGGCCATGCCCCACGCAGCCGTGGAGATGGTTTTCAAGAAGAAATGTGACCCCTAGCTGTTTAAAAAAATGCCCATCCTTGGCCGAGTTAATGGCTCTGTACTGTTCAAGAGATTGCTCCTTATCCCTGGAGAAACACAGCGGGGAAAATTAGTTTGTATTCTGCTTACCCCATCATGGGATACAACCTACATTTAACTGTTTGCCTGAAAGGAAGAAATAATAAGAAACCAATTTTTCAGTCAATAACCGTAAGAAGCAAACCAATCAATAAATGGTATTTTAAGTCACACAAGCTTTTGTGCTGCGACATCTAGGCAGTCAAGCGCCCTCCTCCTACCAATAGTAAGACCACGTATTACAACAGCAAAGCCAAACTATCGCTCTGCAAATCTCTTCTGTGGTTGCCCCTGCTTTCTGGAACATCCTGCCCCCAGTGAGGAGGAAAGCCTCCAATCCCCTGGCCTTCCACAAAGGGGTCAAAATCTGGATGTGCAGCCTTACGTGAGGGACATAGCAGCCCATGGTCGTGGGGCTGGTTGGCCCCATGAGAACCCCTCCTCAGTCTACATTAACAATTCTTAGTCTTCCCAGCTTGGATCTCTCCACCTCTTGCAATGTTATGTTGTTGTTTTTACATTTTTTAAAATTTTAATCTTAAATTATTTGGTTTTAATGTTTTGATTAAACTGTATAGCCCCTCTGTAAGAGAAATGGGTGAGGGGATGGATGGATAGATGGATGGATGGAGAGAGAGGATGGATGGATGGATGGATGGATGGATGGATGGATGGATGGAT